TTTTACAAGGGGCAAGAAAGGAAGAGAGAAGAAAAACAAAAAATCAGACTAATTAACTGCAAATATGTTACACCTGGAGCAAAATTTCTTAGCCATCAAGGGAAAATGCAGTGATGCTTCCCATATCTTAATTAAACACAACATGGGCTCATACAGTACAAAGAATCTGCTAACCTTCCTGCTGTAAGTGAATTTCAGCCTAGACATGGAAGACTATTTTGAATTCTCTGCAGCTTGCAAATTGTGGTGAGCAGTTGTCAGATTTCTGCTTAATGCATTTCAGTCAAGAGTTGAGAAGGGGCTCATTTGTAAGTGTTTTGCAGGAAATGCTTTCCTGACAAGCATGAAATGTTAAGTAGTAATCTTTGCTTTTACGCTGTTTTATTATAAGCTATATCAAAACATACTTTTAGGAAATAAGGTGACATAGTTTCAGAAGAAAGACTGGCCCTCACTTAATATACTGATTATTAATAGTTTTACTCTATAAAATATCCAGACCTGATGCTACATATTAACCTTGTGTACTAACATTCTAATGCTATTAGAAAATCCTGCTGTTTTGATGCAAGTTTTAGTTTTTCCAGAGAGCTGATGAGAAATACACCTCTGAAAAAGAGGACTCATCTCTTTTTTGTGTTTTGACAATCACTGTGTTACAGAGTTTTTGTTTCTTTGCTACTATGAATTTAGAAAGAAAATTTGGTAAAAGCAGCAGCCACTCAGGTATAATTATTCTTTTTTCTTTTTTTTTTTTTTTAAATATTCTTTTGCCTTCTTACACAACATTTTCTGTTTCTACACTTTATCCCAATTCTTTGATAAGCGTAACAGTACACATGGGTCCTTTTTAGTCATATGAACATTGAAATAAATTTTGCAATGGACCTGATTTTTTTTCAGTTAAGATTGCCATATGAGGAAATAGGGCTGTGATAAGAATCTTGTGTAAGTGAGGTACAGTTTTGAAGAACGTGCCCTTTACTGACAATAAGTATCAAGAACAGTTAGCTTTATGAACATTCACTTCAAAAAATATTGGTTTTTTTTTTTTCCCCTAGAGAGGCTGTTGTTCAGTTAAAAATGCAATCTCTTAACAATACCTACAATTATGCATGCAAAGTTAAATATTCACAGTTGTCCATGAAGTACCTGAAAACAGTAAATACTTGACAAATACTTCAGGCAAATGCTGTAAAAACCAGAAACATAACTTAAGAGTCTGTCTCAGTAGAAAAGTAAGGTTCACTGTTTTTCTGTTGTTTCTGTTCTGAAACTGGAGGAACAGCTTTTTTGCTACCCGCGAATTTTGCCGCTACCCAATCAAATTGATGGAATTGAAGGTTATAAAAGGTAAAGATTACTGTAGACTGAGGCTTATATAAATTCAGTTGGTTTGCTCCTGACTCTGTCTGCCCACTTCAGTGTTTTTTAGTTACACACGTCGAATAAAAACATAGTTTCCTTACATTCTTAATATGCTTCCTGGTGGCCTACACTGTGTGTATAAATTTCTTCAAGATCGTACTCATTCCAAGATAACTTATAAAAAGGCAATGCCTACAAAGACAATTTAAAATGTAACTATCATTTAAATACATAAATGTGAACAGAAGATGTGTAACATCCCACATAAAGAAGTATGGTGTGAATGACAATAAAGGTGTGGTGCAGGTTTTGGGAATTGCATTCCTCTGCTACATCGGAACAATTTTTAGAACTATTCCAGTGTAAAACTTGTTAATTCTTTGTACATGCTAAGCTGATTACATTAGGTATCAACAATTAATTTATGGATGTGATGCACACTCCTGTTAGGATACTATTTTACAATCAGAACATGCAGTCCTGCTATCAGTTGCTGTACCAGAAAGTAACAGATTTGCTTGAAAGAAATATTTTCTTTGATTTCAGCAACCAGTTTATTCAGCATGTAGTTCATACATTCACATAATTAATTGTCAAGTGTGCTAGCTAAAGATTAACACCATCTCCTGCTGGCATTTGATTGCAGAAAGTTGATAGTTACTCTTTATCTTTTTTGGTTTGGCAGGAATCAGTTAAGAGAAGAAGTCTAGAAATGAGCATTTGTGTTCCCTAAACTTCACTGGAATTGAAATCAAAACTGTTGGTATTTTCCACTTAAATTCTAATGACCTGAAAACTCAGCGTGAACTCAGACCTGTCCAGTGGCAAGTAAGACATTATGCCTTGAGGGATGCTGTTCTTCAGCAGTGATCTTAGTTTTAATGCTGGGCTGTAAAGAACTTGACAGGGATTTGCTGTTTGCTCACATGTGCACACAGCTTTTATATAGTTCACAGAATCACAGAATAGAATTCAAATTGCTAGATGTAATGATGAATATTTAAAATGCCTTAAGAACATTTCTAATTTCCTGAATCAGCAACAGCTGACTATCCCAGAGAAACTACATATAATTATTAAGAAAAAGGATTACCATCTCTATTGGTCACTGTAGAGTAAAAGGACATGCTCTCTATGAATGTCACAGTTCACATTCTGAGAAGTTTTGAGACTCCCTTCTCCCCGAAGTAAAAAAAAAACAAACCCACAGGGTAGTGGATTCAATCCTCATTGTAGTATATTTTACTATTTAAAAAGTCTTCTCCCATGCACTAACAATGCCAAATACAAATGTGGCAGCATTCTATATGCAAGTTCTAATGAAATGAATTCTTGGAGCACCATCTCAACTTTCTTTGTACTGTAACTGCATTTACTATCCTAATCCAAGGCCAACACTTCCTTTTTCTATTTTCCAAAACCTAGCACTAATGATGCTGAATTTAATCATTGTTCCAACCCATTTATCCACCTAGAAAACGAGAATGGGGTTTTCCTGAGTATGTAAGTGACTGAAAAAACTCTGGGTCACTTAAGACCAGATATTAATGGTATTTATGTGTAAGGATCAAGACAGACACTTGATGGGATTTCCACAACACCTACCTCCCACTGAAACCTCATCCTCTTACCTTGCTTATACAGGCTATTAGAAAGTTTAATCAACATGTGATTGAAGTACTTTGTGTAGTGTTTTGTCCTTCAGAAAGACACATTTAGCCCAAGAACATTTTTATTCAAACCTCCTGAATGAGTCAAGAAGTTGGGAATGCTGGTGATTAATTTATCAGATATGAAAGAGACTGGTAACTCTTTTCCCACAAGCATCCCAACAGTCCTTGAATTATACAAACTATATTATCTCCCACATTCTCCTTTCTAAAAACATATGCACCATAAATAATGTTCTGGGATAAGTGGTAATAGGAAACATTATTTATTCTTCAAATATTTCACATCAATTTCTATCATGCCCAGTATGATTGATTCTAATAGTCATGCAATTTTGCAGATAAGGATCAATAAAAAAATACAAAAGTAAATCATACTGGGTTTTTTTGTTTGTTTGTTTGTGGTTTTTTTGTGTTTTTTTTTTGTGTTTTTTTTTTTTTTTTTTTTTTTTTCCATTTGAGTATTACAGAACAGTGTATGTGCTCAAATTCCATGAAATAAGGAAAAAAAATTAGAACACAGTTTTTGTCTCATGGTGCACATAGACACATTTGTTAATGAAATGTGTATCCAAGGGCAAAATGTAAATACAAGGGATGTCAGGGATATAGTTTTGGTGATTCAAGAGGCCATTGGGTAAATTTATTTCCCCCTAAAATACGACCATATCCATGGTGTTTTTCCTTTTAAGCTAGTAAATGGATGATAAGTTTCTTCCTTTAGACTAACCACGGTTTATTATATTTTGTGCAATATACATACAAATATATATTCAGGCAAGAAAATGGTTTCAAAGAGTTTTGATTTCTCCATGTGTATCAGAAAAAATAAAAATCTCAATCAATAAAAGTAATACAGATGAACACATGTATGAAGGCAAGAGTTCTGAAAACCAGGAATATTTTAGCATGCCATCAGAGTAATTGGGAAAAGTGGGATGAACTCAGGCAGGGTTCAAAAGTGACTTTGTTCCAGCTTCTGTTTCTCTGTTTCACTTTTTGGTAATGTCAACAAAAATAAGTAAATGAGCTTTTTGCTGAAGCTTAGTATATTATTAACTCTTTGTATATTTACTGTAAAAGTGATATGTCCTAAACAAAACTTGCTCATATTTACTGTCTTCTGCAGCTACCAGAACTGCAGCTATGTAGTAGTTAGTATTCACACTGCTGTGTTACATTCATCTACTGTACTGTATGAATTCTTTGTAGCAGTTTGTGTACATTCTCTCACAGTCAGCATTAAATACAGAACTTAGAGGAGATGTTTTTTCCTTTCAAAGCATTGCCCTGCATCATAACACTGCCACTAAGGAGATCTGAAGAGCTGGGTTTAGAGTAGATTTGTAGCTACATCATTTAAGAACTAGTTTTAGTTACAGCTTCAAATGGCAGCATTTGATAACTATGTACGGAGGTGTGAACTGCATACTTTTAGAAAGAATTTGTTTTCACGCTTGTCTAGCAAACCACTAATACTTAATTTATAAAATATGTTAAAAATCTTAGCAGATCGAAACTCATTGTTTCAGGAGCAAAAATAAAAGCCGTTTTGAACCCTTGGTAAGATGGTTTCTTTAGGGCAGTTAAACTTCTGCAGATATGTTTGAAACTATATTGCCACCTGCTGTCTCGAGCTGAAATCAGGAGGCAATTCTTTTGCCCCCCCCAAAAAAAAGATTAAAAGATTTTCACTGGAGGGTTAGGAATATGAATGTTGACTCTATTGTCCGGAAGAAAGAAAGAAAAAGAGGGCTGGTAATAAAATAAAATAGTAAGTTGCAATGTGGAACGCTTCAGAAATTGCTATGCTACAGCAGTACACAAGCAGACAGCAGGCTCTGCCTCTCTCTCCCTCTCTCCCTCTCCAGCCGCTCCCCGCCGCAGACTCCATCCCCCACAAGGCGCCGCTCGGCCCGGCCCCGCAGTGTGCTGGCAGCCCGTTGGCGAAGCGGGGCCCGGCGGAAGCCTATCACCTCCCGACTCCTTGTGCGGGGCCGGCAACCGCTGTACACACAGCGCGAGCCCGGCGGCCCCTCGGGCTCCGTCGGCGGCCCGGTGGGGCCATGAACCTGGGGTAAGGAGGGAGGGACCCGGCGGCCGGGAACGCCGCTCTGTGCGGGGCGGGACCCCCCCGGCCTTAGCTCGGCGCCTCGAGGCCCGCTGGTGCCGGGGGGGCGTGGAGCCCGTCTGGAGTGGGGGCGGGAAAGGGCCGGAGGCGCGTGAGGTGACCGCAGCGCTGCGGGCGGCGTCGGGGGAGCGCGTGCGGCGTTAGCATGAAGTGCGGGTTGTTGAAGTGCACGGATCGCACCGCTGCCTCTTCTCTGCACGGTTCCAGTCTCTTTCTTTCTCCCATTTTGCAGAGATGGGCTGAAGCTTGAAACTGAAGTGCTGGACGGGAAGCCGAGGCTGATTTTAGCCGCTTCTGGTATTTTTTGATTATTTACCTGAAGTAACCTTTCAAGCTCGGACTGATGTAATACGAGAATTTCTGCAATTTAGTACATCTTATTGCCAGGGAAAAAGAAGCCCAGTAGCTCCGTGCTTGATTTACACAGAAATGTATTATTTCACACTTAGATATTTACAGTACTTAAGTAGCTGGTGGCCGAGGTTTATCATTTTCACTAAGCAGCTTATTTAGACCAGATCTCAGCGCTGCCACACTAGAAAAGACCATCTCATTAAAGCTTAATGATGAGCCTGTCTGAACTCTAGTTTTTTATTTATGAGGCGTGTTTATGTACAAGCACAGAACCACTTTCCCTAATTGTTCTACAGAGGCCTATGGCACCCTGGCTCGCATCAGCTGTGGTGCAGCCAGCAGGGCAGGGAACTCATTGTTCCCTTTGTCAGCCTGGTGAGGCTGCACTTTTTGCATTTAACAGAGGGCTGACCAGTGAGATATAATGGAATGCTTTGAGTCAAGAAGAAATGGCAGACCACTGGAGACAAAGCCTCACAACACCTCTGGAATGGCAGTGCTCTGAAAGTGCTTTCACTTAGTTCAGATGTAGCTGGCATCATTTGTTGGAATGTTCACTGGCCCTATTCATAGCACATATCATTGCCACTCACTCTGAGCCAGGATTTAACACCTGCCTGTAAGAGTGACAACTTAGCATACTCTCAAATTTTAATACTTTCATCTGAATTGTAAAATATTATTAAGGTGTTTTGCAGACAGTCAGAACTGTTAGCATTTCTGGTGTCTAATAGGTAGTGTAAAGAAGGCATGGTACTTTTCTGTACAAGTGGGAATAGATGTCTCAAATATAGCTAGGTAGCTTTTTATTTGTTTTCCAACATATATTTGAATTTTTTATACCAAAAGAAAAACATACACATATACTGGGTAGATTTACAAGAAGGTACTTCCCCCTTCCTTACAAGATGTCTGATAACTATAATAGCTCATGAGTTTCTTAAGATTTATTTTTCAGGAAGAAGTTGCTATTTAATACTGTTCTCATATGTTTGTGTTTGCTTCCCAAAAGATAAAGCAAAGCCTGCAATGAAGGTAAGTGAAAAGAACTACATTTTATTTAGAGCAAACATTATACCATTCAGTTTGTTGGCAGATAATTTTGAGAACACATTTGAAATGTCTCACTATTTGTAATCAGTCATGTTTATGAAAAAAAAAAAAGGGGTATTTCTCAGGTTCATTATAGCTATAAAAAAGAATCACAGAGTATCCTCTGTTGATAGGGACCCATAAGGATCATTGACTCCAACTCCTAGCTCCACACAGGACTACCTAAAAACCAGGGTCAGTATCTAAGAGCGTTGTCCAAATGTTTCTTGGATGTCTGCAGACTTGGGGCTGTGACCACTGCCCTGAGAAGCTTCCAGTACCTGGCCACTCCCTGGTGAACAACCTGCTCCTAATAACCAATCTGAACTTCAAAAAATTCAGTAAAATATTCAAGAAGTTTGAATTAAAAGTTTGGTGACAACTTCTGCCATCACAAAATGGTTTTGTTTAGTTCCCCAAAAAGTTACAACAGTGTAGGAAATCATCTCAGTTGGAACTTTCAGAGACCTTAAAGGGATGCTGGTAAAATTTATCTGAAATGTGTTTTACTGTCCATATAATCACATGGGCTGTGCCTGTCTGAGTAAACTGGAATGCAGTGAGCTGGAGGGACAAAGTAGATGAAGGTTTCAGTATCTGTGAGATAGTGACAAATGTACAACAAAGACCCTGGAAAGAGTAACTGTTACAGAATGGAAAAAATCAAGACTGAAATATTAGTGACTGTATGACGAACCACACTTGAAGCCATACTGCAGAAATGCCAAAGAAAATAAGAATGTTTATGACTTCTTTTAAATGTTATGCTATATAAAATTATTTTTGTGTCTTCTAAATATTCAGATTTAGGTGTTGTGTTTTCCCTTAAGGTATTTCAGGACAAGGGAAAATGATTTTAAGTTGGAGGGAGGGAAGGAAGAAGGAAGAAGGAGGGAAGATTTAGGTTGGATGTCAAGGGGAAGTTCTTTACTGTGAGAGTGGTGAGGTGCTGGAACAGGCTGCCCAGAGAGGTTGTGGTTGCCCTGTCCCTGGAAGAGTTCAAAGCCAGATTGGATGGAGCCCTGGGCACCCTTGTCTAGTACTAAATGTGGAGGTTGGTGGCCCAGCCTGTGGCAGGGGGGTTGGAGATTCATGATTCAACCAGAGCCATTCTGTGATATCTAGTGCTGGTGAAGATACTTTACTGTTTTCTTATGGAGTTAGATTGCATTGATGGAAGGAAGAAGAAAAGAAACACTGTTACCTGCTGCTCATAGTCCTGTTTTTGTTTGTTACTTACGAGAATTTCTTTCCTTAATGTAATATGTACTGAATTTTCTCTTTTTCTTTTTCTTTTTTTTTTTTTTTTTAACAGATAGGAAATAAAGCCAAAGGGTCTAAACAGACTTTGAGAATAAGGCATACTGAGCATATGCTGAGGTCAACACGAAATGCTTGCATCAATCAGGAAAACTTAGCAAAATCAAGGAGTGGATCGAGCTTATCAGTGTCAAAAGGTGAAAGAGTGCAAGTAACTAAACCTTCCTCACGTGAAGCTACAACTAAAGATCACTCTTTGATTTTCCAAAGAGACACCGCAAATAGGAAACCTGATTCTGAGAATCTTAATGTTCGAGAAAGTAAACGCGAAGCTCAGAATGCACATATATCAGCTGAAGACCTAAGAAGTTTGGTGTGTTTAACACAAGAACAGCTTCAGCAGATTTTGATGATTGTAAAAGGAGAAACTAGGCACATCTCTGAGACTCCCAGTGAAAAGCAAGAGGAAATAGGTAAGATACAATGCAGTGAAGTTTTCATACAGTTAACTGATGTTTGTTTCATGGAAACAAAGCAAAACATGAGGCTTAATTTTGAGTTGAATTCATAATTTATGTTTATTTGCAGACAGAGATACTACTCTCTAATGGTCTCAACACCACTGCTTGCTATTACAGATGTGAAATTGCCTGTGTTAGGAACCAAACAGCTGTTAACAATAACAACTAGAAATGATTTGATAATATTCTAGTACTTTGCAGAGTAAAAAAGCAAGCAACTCTTGTCAACGTTTCATACTAAAATTGGGGGAAAAAAAAAATAGTGGAAGGGCACTGAACCATTAACATCAGAATTTTGAGAATAAAATCAGAATCTGAGCAACCTGCTTGAGCTGTAGATGTCCCTATGCATTGCAGGGGAGTTGGACTAGATGACCTTTAAAAGGCCTGTCCAAATCAAATGATTCCATGATTCTGTGGAAATAACTGTCATCAGCACACTCAAAAAGCCTCAGAAATGCAGGCTTTTCTGGTTGATCAAAGAGTTCAAGAGCACTCTTTAGATTTCCTTCTGACCTCAAGATGTTCATGCATCTTTCTGCTTAACTGTAATACTACTACTGAGTAGGGTTCATTCTGCAGTTTTTATGCTGACAAACATGACAACTATTATGTATCTTCCTGTATCATTGCTCTTATTTTTGGACCCATGGAAGAGGTCGACTCTGTCACCGCAAACATGGCACATTGAAAGTAAGTAGAGTACAAATGTCTGAGCTCCCTGGCAAGCGTGTTTACTGTCAGTCTAGCATTCTAAGAATATCTTTGAAGTTGTAACTTGCATGTCTCAGCTGTACAAGCAGGGCAGAAAACAGGTTTGTTAAATAGTTGTGAGTTTGCAAGTCTCCTCTGTTCCTTAAGTAGTAAGGATTGAAAAATGTTTAGTGGGCACTGATGTTTTATTTGCTTTTTGTGTGTGTATATGCATATATGTATAAATGTACAAATATGTATACATTTAGGTGTGTATATTTGTTCTACTACAGGCACTAGTGAGGCATCAGAGGAAACCGTTGTAGCATTGCTCCAAAACACTTGTGAAATTCCATCTGTTCCAGATGAGCCTAACTCTAATTCAAGCAGGAAAGGAGAGTCATATCCACAACCAAGAGAGAAAGTTATGTACGTAAATCTGTGCTATTGTCAATGAAAATTTTCTCCAATAATGAATTGCAGTTCTTAATCACAGTAGGAATTGATATAAATACTAATCAAAAAGTGATGTTTAAAATCAACAGATTTTCAAGTAATTTTTTTCTCTCCCTCACCTATAGAAAGGAGTCCTGGAAACCCGCTGACATGTTTAGTACCTTGGGTGAAAGAGAAGGAGAGAAAGCCTTATTAGAATCAAGAAAGAGCCAGTGGAAGAAGGAATTAGGTACTTACCATACACACCATTTATATTTTTATGAGTTTATGACACTAAAGATGACAACAAACTTTGCATTACTTATGCTTCTGTAAGTTCACTTATATCAGTGCAATTGCTACAGATTTGGAAGTTATCTGCTGTAAATCTCTAGAACAGATAAATTCCTAAACCTGGAAAAAAAAAAAAAATAATAAAAATCTATATAAAGAAAATCTATAACTTCTTGAAAAAATACTGCTAAACAAAAGAAATATTTTCCCAAATAAGGCTGTGGGGTTTTTGTTTTGTTTGGGCTTTTTTTTTTTTTTTTTAATGCTTCATATTGTAGGAGTTGTTGGCTCCTGTTGGTTTGGTCACCCCTTCGCTCCTTGATGGCCATTGTCCTTAACAAATCACTTTGTTTCTTCTAAGGGAAAAGTGTCACCTGGTCTACAGGTATGACTGAGTACAAATTGCAGCTTGACTTTGGAACAGTTTGCAGCCCTGTCCCATCACCAGCCACAAGGAGTTACTGTAGAAAGTTAAAACTGTTTAAGACAGTGCTAAAGACTCCATGACAAATGAAGCTATTTATGATTGATATACAGGAGTGTTGTTTCTACAACTTGTATGTAGATGATCTGATTACAGGGTTTGATGTTTGCAGTGTCCATTGGTTTGGCAATATTAGCATATTCTAATCTCATTAATCTTAACAAAGTGGAGATAATTGATATGCTGTGTTTCTCACTGATAGTTGTTAAGCCTTCAGGGTTTTATAGTCTTCTCAGACAGATTACCCTGTTACCCCTACACCTCTGGACAGAGGCTCAGTGGCCATCATCTTAAGAGCAAAGTCACGTTTGAACTGTGACTATCGTGTAGTCCATTTTACAGTCACAATTGTAGGGATGACAGGCCTATCTTACTTATTTTAATAAATGCATCTACATATCTGTATTAGGAATTTTTACTAAAGTTTCGTGCATTTTCCCACACTTCCTTTCCTGAAGATGAACAGGTAGCACTGAAGAAGAAACTGAAAGAAACCTTGGAAGGAGATGTGATTTATTTAGGGGCAAAATCTGGCAATGATAAAAACCATACAGAAAAAATGGAAACAGCTGACCCAGATAAGGTAAGGCTATCTATAAACACTGAAAAACAGAGTTTTGACAGCACCGTCACAGAACTCTTGAGCTCTTAATTCATGCAAGATTTTCTTTTCTGTACAGATCCAATGTTAACAGGAAGCAGAATCAGATTTCAGCGGTTAGTTTAAGCTCTTTGATGGCATGATGTGATGCAGCTCCCTATATCAAACTTAGCTTTTGCTCCAATTTTAGTTTTATCAGTTATATGAAGTATCACTACCAATCTCTTCCTTTCCTTGCATGTTGATTATTATGAGGTATGAATCTATTCCAATAATGATTTGAAGCATAATGAAGTGGTTATATAATAATAAATATATAATTATTTACATTGTTCATTAGCTCTCTAGTATACCTAATGGCTTACCTAATATTAAGCATAGCATTTTGATTTTAACTTGCCTTTCACGTAGTCAGGTGTAACTGTGAAAATGGCATGTCAGATAAAACATGACTTTGAGGAGGCTGCTGTCAAACAGGTGGTTTTTATCCACTCTCAGTTGTAAAAATAAATGGCATCTTTTGGCATAATTCAGTATTCCTAGAAAAAAAAATTATCACCCTGCCCCCATAAGTTTGTTTTGTTGCACATAAGTAAAAACTACTGCATATGACATGCTTAATTACAGGTTTTGACTGAGGTTCTAATGGGTAGCAGCGTCTAGAAAATTGGTGTATTTGTTTTGTATACATTAAAGGCTATTTAATTCAAAACAAAAAGAAAAGCAACAAAAAACTAAATAAATCAAGATTAAATAAGTGGTCACTTTGTTTGCGGACACTGTTCTCAGCTCACCAGTTGTCAGTTGCGTAGCATTTGTTTTAGGGGTAAGATTTTAACTTGCATGCAGTTATGGGTTGTTGTTTGTTTTTTTTTCCTTATTTATTGATAACAGATGTATAGCTGCTGTTGTTCTTTTAGACCAAAATAATTCAGTAGATCATTGTGCTCTAGCTAGAGCATTGTGTCTGAATGCCTATCAAAATATGGGTAGTTCAAAGACTTGAGTATTATTAAAGGCTGACACAAAGAACGTTACTTGGTGTTAACTGAATTTTTATTTAGCTTTTAGGCATATGTTAAAGAAATAGATTAAGTGGGAACGTATCAAAAACAGAACCACAAGAAAAAAAAAAAGTTTTGGTGCAAAAAAGCTTAAGAAATTGGGTTTGAAAAGACAGTGACAGAATTTTTTTTGTCAGATAGCATTGAAAATTCTCAGTGTCACTGGAGTCTCTGTGAAATTATATGGATATCCATTAATAATTGAGAAGACTGAAAGTGCTATGTAGAATTTACTTGAATCATCTAATGATGTAATGATCATGGGGTGAATCTACCTGAAACACAGGCTAAGCAGTGTCTACAGCAATAAGGAAGAAGGATTTTTGTTCATAATTGTCACATTGTCTGGAGCAAGAGGCTGATGGTTCAAGTTAGAATAAGGTTCAATGACTGGCTTATTTAGCATCTTTCTAACAATTTAAGCATTTTTATGGAACAGTCAAGCACTTAGTAAAGTTACAAGCTTACATTCATTGTGCAAGAGAACAGCCTAATTCTGTCTGAAGTAACTGAAGGCACAGTTTCCTGACACATCTTTGTTATGTGGCTGGACAATGTAGTGAATTTTGGCTACAAGTAATAGACAAGCATATATCTTATTACAGGAAGTTGTGCTACAGGAGCGACCTTTGAGTGCTTTGAAGCATGAGCAACAGAAGAAGTGGCTTGAAGAGCTGGACAAACAGAAGGAAGAAGCTAAGCTACGAAAAATAGAAGAAAAAATGAATTTATCAAAGGTAGGTGGCTTAGAGAGACTTAGAACTGTGGCTTAGACTGTGGCTTAGAATAAGAAGAACTTGCTGTTTCAATTTTTGTTCGTCTAAGAAATAAAAATTGAAGTCTTAGGCTTAAGAACTAATTGCAGAGACATAATGAAATGTTCTATATCCAGTTTTTCATCATAAGATCACAGGACAGTCACTGAACACTCAGGCAGTAGGTGTTGCAGTATTTGCCTGGCAGAGGACAACATGCCTAGTTTGGCGTGTTAAAGTACTTGCTGTGGAGATGAAAATAGTGGTATTATTATAACCCCCATGGTTTGAAAGGAACAGGGGATGTAAGGTCTTGCAGAGACACTAGTGAGACACCTTGTAAAAAAACAAATTTCCTGTAAGTTACTGAAGGAGATGAGAAGAAATTGTTAAGAGACACCCACTGTGCATCGCAGAGGTATTCAGATCCTGTTTCTGGAAATACTATTTTGATACATGTTTCTGAAGCTTTTTAAACAATTGTTCACCCAGAAGGATTAAAGAAAACAGCCCTACCTTTCATAACCTTCAGTTTTTCCAGGCTGTTGAATGTAGATCTTTTACACTGGATCTCAAAGGAAACTTGCCCATATAATTTGTTTGAAGTTCAGTTAAGTGAAGAGACTTCTAATACTGTCACTGTTGGCTGATCTGGGCAATGTATCTCATACCCCTTCAGGTTCTTATTATGGAAAAGTGAGATACTTCCTTTGTTACTATTTCTACCGTATTTCTGATCTTAAGGTTAGTGAAGTATTCTACATTCTTATACAGAGCAACATACTCTTCCAAAGTCTCTTCATCTGTCTCTTGAAATGAAGAAACACACAGCAAGACTGTAGTGTTGCTAGAACCCTGATTTCCAAATTACTGTATGAAGGTTTAAGCCGGGTTGTATCTGTTACCATGTATGATAAATGCTCACCACGCTCCGTGTTAGCAGCTAACAAGAACCTCCGTTACCACAACTCGCCTCATAGGAGTGTTTGTAATCTGTGGCCTTTATCAGTATGCGATAGTTTTTACTCTGAGCTGAAGTATTTATTGCAGCAGTCACACAATTCCTATACAGAAAAGCATCATCTCAATTCTATGGCTCACAATAATAGAAAGTTTCTACCCATCCTCTAAAATAAAACAAAAAATAATTAAAAAAAGAAACACCAACAACACAAACCCCAAAAACCAAACCAGCAAAACAAACCAACCCCACCTTGTTGCTAAGGTCAGTTACATACTTACAGCATAAATCTTCTCTTTTCCTGGGCCACTAAGGGAACTGAATTTCCTTTGCAAATGGGACATTTTGTAGCTCTGAAGATAACGCAGCTGTAAAAGATTGCTGCCTTGGCTGCCATGTTTTTTAATTTGCTGGGTGTGGCACAAGGAGATGGCTGCAGTTACCAACTTGACAGTAAGCTACTTCCAGCCTCTTGAAAGAAAATTGCACATATTTAATCTTTTTTTCCTTCATCTTCCTATTTGCATCTCATGTTACAATCTGAACCTTTCTGTACTGCAGACTCACATAACACTGATATTTAACTTCTCTGATACGTTTGCACATCAACATGTTTAAAGGGAAGGCAAAATTTACTTAGGGAATGGGAGAAAGATTCATTTGGATTAAAATAGGCATAAAACTTCTCTTCAAGAAGGGATTCTTTCTGGTTTAAAGAATGTAGTCCTGGAAAGCTTTAAATAGAGTATGTTTGTTGCATTCTGCCAAAAAGAAATGTATAAGTATTCATCTTACAGTCTTCTCAGACAAACAATTATATTGGTCAGAAGAAAAAATGTTCTCAGTGCCTATAGCAAAAACAAAGGTGCTTTATGTAAAATGTCCAGCTGCAAAAATGGAGCTGTAAAGACAAGGCCATGTGATATGGAAGGGAGTCTTAAAAAGTCACCTCTACTGAAGTCTCGGGTGCTTTATTAGGATTGGATTCTTAAAAGAATTAAAAAAATAATAAAGAATAAAAAAAACCAGGAAAATAAGAAGGTATAAAGTAGTATCTCTACCCAAAGCATAGTAATTCTGCTGCTGTCCATGTTTGAAGTGGTGTGGGTAAATGTGAGTGTAAAACCGTTCATGTTATTAACTTATTCTTTGACTTTTTTTTTTACTTTTTTTTTTTTCTTCACTTTCTACTTTCTGGTTTGTATTTACTGAAAATATATTAGAAGCACTTTACTGCTGACCAAGTGTATTGATCCACAGCATAATTTCTGCTCCGATTTGCATTTTAAGCAACAGAAACACTTTGGTGTTCCATCTAAGGAATGAATTGTTCTGTGTGTTGTAACTCCGTAACAAAGATTTTCAACTGTTGGTGTTGTACAAAATGTGTTGTCTCTTTTGTTAACCGTGCTTTGTAGAAAATGTAATTGAGCACATTTCCATTTTTTGTTGCTTCATATTTATTTAGGCTGAAGAGCATGACAGATGGGCAATGCATTTTGATTCTTTAAAGAACCACCTTAATACTAACGCACAACACCCCTTAAATGGAATGTACAAAAAGCAGCCTGAAAGTCTTTGCCTGTCACCTGACCCTAAGGAGCTGACTGCTTTTGTTCACCCTTTCTCACCTGCAGCTTTAGGCAACTTCATGCCCTCAAAAGTGGAAAATGCAGAAAGAGGTGCTAAAAACAGTGCTTTGGATCACAGTCAGAAAACCAGGTGAGTGAACTTTGTAAGGACAATCGTCTTCCCATCCTGTTCACTTCTGGTACCCCTTAGAAACAAAATAAATATTTGAATAAGATGCCTTAAATCTGATCTTTGGATCTTATTCATTTGGCTTCTGCTTTTTTCAGAATTGCACATGGTTTCACTTTTGAAATATGCATATGCTTCCATTGTTCATTAATAAAATTTACTGCGAGTAACCTTATTTTTTTCCCTTAATAAATTTAATAATTAATACAGTGCAGTTTCATCAATATGAAAAAATTACTTGTAATCTGGGAATTCTAATTAAAGAAAGCATTTGGATTTACTCTTTATGATAAGAAAGCCACATACATGTTTCTTTCTTTGTAGTTTCCTTCGTTCAATGACAGCTCTCCTGGATCCTGCACAGATTGAAGAGAGAGACAGACGGCGGCAGAAGCAGTTAGAACATCAGGTGGGTTTCTGTTTTAAGGTCTAGAGCTATTTTAGTGAGAAAATGGAAAAAAAAAGTGAATAAAGCATGATAATTTAATAACAGACTTCAGATCTAGAAATAGACTTCATATTACATCTACACATGATTAATAGCGTTCCACTCAGCCTCTATGTTTTTTTAATATTTATATTCGTTGATTGTATTTCTGTTACTGAATTCTTGGCTCAGAATGATGCAGTGTAGCCTTTAGAACTCCAGTAAAATTTGTGTGTGGGTTTTTTTCAGTCGCTGCTACCATCAAGAGGACTGATATTTACATACACCTGTTCTGTGAACTTTACAATGAAAACATAAAAAGAGACTTTTGTTTATCTCTGAGTATTTTGTCTTCAGACTGCTTTGCTGGGCTGATGGTTCTAAAAAACAGTGGGAAGGCAACTAGCCATATTTTGAGAAATTGTAAGAAACAAAGCATTTGAAGTACTTTCTAGTTAATAGCATGATCTGTTAGACTGCTATTTTCCCTACTACTGTCACATATATTAATAAATTGTCTTCATTTTTTTTATCTTTCCAAATTCAAGTATCATGGCTGTACACAGAAGAATACAAGTAACCTGCTTCTAATGCCTTTATTTTCATTCTACTTTCTTATGATACCACTAGAAAGCAATAATGGCTCAGGTAGAAGAAAAGCGGAAGAAGAAACAACTGGAAGAAGAGAAGAGAAAATTGGAGGAACAAGAGGAAGAACAGCGCCTAGCGCGAGAAAAAGAACTGATGCAGAAACAGTTTGAAGAAGATCTGCTTAAACAAAAACAGAAGGAGGTGGGCTTTTGTGTTTTGCTCAGTGCAGAGGGATGGAAATCTTTTACTGACTTGTCTGAACGTAGTGAAGTTAAATATTGCAGGTAGCGGGAAGACCTGTGAGGTAAAGAATGCAGGTGTACTTTCAATTAAAGCAGAAATACGCATTTTAAGTGCAGATTTTAAATACAAAAAAGACATGCGTAGCTCTTTCAGGCTAGGATTGAACAGCTTCGTTAGTACAGCAGAGCTTCTGACTTTACCATTTAAAAGTTATGTGTAAGGTATTGCATCCAACTCAGCTGGTTTTTGGTTTGTTTCTGTTTGTTTAAGATGCTTCACTCAAAGCAAGAAAATATTTTGACGTTATTTATGTAAACATTTGGGATGATACGGAGATGACATGATCATATTCTCAAAATAAATTCCCACTTTTTTTTTTTTTTCTTTTTTTCTTTTTTTTTTTTAAGGAACTTGTGGTTCTGAAAACAAATGAGCTCTATCAGACAATGCAGAAAGCTCAAGAATTAGCCCAGAGATTAAAACAGGAACAGCGCATCCAGGATTTGGCTCAGAGGGGACATGACATTTCAAAACTTCAGAAGAATCTTGGTGGGGGTGAGTTCTGCCATTCTGCTGGTCAGTTTGCCTCTTCCTTTGGGGTGGGTGTGCAAACTGTGAGTGGATTTTTTTCCCGTTTTTGTAGTAGGCCTGAAATTGCTCCTTTGCTTCAGAAACCAAATTTAATTTTAGCTTATTTAAAGAATCTTTCCAATAATATCAGTGTTCTAATGCAGTGAATGCCATATCTTAGTAATCTTCAAATGCTACATTACATAAAGGAAGAAATACAAGGCTGTTATCAGGAGTGCATGTGGAATATTCAGACCTACAAAGGATTGGCTTGATTTTCAGTGAAACAGGCAGTATTTTAGGATCTGAATCACAATTCTCAATCTTTGCTTTGAGCTCTAAGCTAGAATAGTCTGATAACATGATAGCATAGCTTAAATAGAATATATGCTGCTACATGAAAAAAATTTGATTGTTTTCAGGTGGCAGTGAATTTGAAAACTGTAATACTGATGCTTCACATCGAAGTCCCAACTTCTCTGCTGACATTAACACTGATCAGCAGACTTCTCGGAAAGACACTGCTGTACAGACAGGTAAGAAGTCCTTCAGTTTGGTCACCTGATGTACCTTACAGACAGGCAGCAGGACAGCCAATTTGTGTAACTGCAACGGGGCCAAATCGTTGTCATTCAAAATGGAACAAAATTGAAAATACATGCTTGGACAGACTCAGGCTCCTGGAAATATAATAATATATCACTGTGTTTTTCTAAATCAATTGTATGTCTTTATTGGTACCTGACCGTTACAAATTCAGATCAGCCACTGTGAAGTACAGTGTTGGCTTACAGTCATGGCCATAAGCCATGCAGGACTAAATTTATTAAGGAATTGCAGCATATATAGTTGTAGTCTTCAGGCTTGTATCACATGCACTGGTATTGAGCTGGAATGGGTTCTTAATGAATCCTTTATTAAGGACAAGAAACATTGTCAGTAATCCTGGAGTAGGAATACTAGACTCATTAGAAAATGAAAGCTTATATTCAGATATTTAGAAAAGCTTTTTACAGTTGTTGCTACTTACTCAAACAGAATCTTCTTCCCACTTGAAAAGTGAAAGCTTTATTTCTATTTGTTTAGGCCAAATGTTTGAATAGTTTACTCTTAGATCTAATATACTTTTTTTAGATGACTGTACTACTTCAGCATACATTGATGCAGCTGAGGAAAGAACTTCATGTTGTGGGTCACCGGATATTTCCATAGAATATAAAGAAACCTCTAATAGCAAAAAATATCAGAAAGAAATGCAGTATACAGATAAAAACAGAATTTCAGGACAAGAGAATGGTGACATCCACAGTGAGCTGTATGAACAATATGCAAGAAAAGAAAGACAAGTTAAACCTTCAGAAAAACCTGGCAAAAAACCTGACTGGAACATAAACAAGCCTGAGAAAAGATACATTCCAGCATCAGAAAGATACCCCAAACCACTGCAAAAACAAAGGGAAGAAAATAAAGTAAGACGACAAATGGAGCTGCTTCAGTTGGTAGAAAGAAATACGCCTGGGAATCTCTACCAAAAAAAGGGTTGTTGCTCAGATGGGTCTCCTTCACCTCATGAAGAAATGAAGAATAAAGGACACAGAATCAGAAAGGTAACTATTTTTTCTCTAAGAACAGTGATTAATACTTTTTTAAGACTTATTTCACTCAGCTCTGGTTGGATATAATTCAATCTCTGAGAGTTTTCCTACCACCTCTCCTTTGGGTGAAGACCGGTATTACAGCAGTTTTGTTCAGCGTGGTTGGAAGAGCATTAAATTTTTGTGGCTTAGCTTTCAGTTCAATCTTCCAAAGTGTATATTCGCTTTATTGATAAATCTATAATGATTATTAAGAAGTGTATACAACTTCTGCTTGTGCCTTGAGCTCCATAGACGTAGAGAAGCAGAACAAATAGATATAAGAACTTATTAGTTTAACTGAGTTTGTAGATATAAGTCTCTTTAATGCATGTCTTCGATAATATCTGTCTCCTGTGAGAGCTCAGATCATACAGTCCTCTCAGAATTTCAGAACAAACTTTTGTAATATGAGTGTTGAATATATTAAACATCAAGTTTTGTACTCATGGTTTTGACTTTTGTTTTTTTTTTTCCCAGGAAGAACAACTCCGTAAGAATCATTTGAATGAAGAAAGGTATGTCAATATTCTGCATTAATGAATTTATAGTGAAATATGTACATTTTTCTTTCCTGATTTTTAATCTTTTTTATGAACTTAGATTCATCCAGTTGGACACTGTAGTGCAGAATGTTTTCTCTCCACTGTTTATCAAACTTTTGTGGGTGCTTTTATAGTAACTGGAATTGTTTCATACAGATTTGACTCACCACCTGTTCCAGCGGTTAAGAATAGATTACAAGTACAACAAAAACAGATATGCACCAGGAAATTGGAAGTATATAACAACAGTAGAAGAGAGAAAAATACCAAGGCAGATGTGCAGCAGAAGAGCTTCCCTCCTGCGCTTCCAGAAGCTGGACGACCTCCTTCTTCACAGTTCATTCCATACGTTCGAACAAACGAAGTGTATTATCTCGATCCAGATGCACCAGTGACCAGACCTTCAACACACGACCCACAGTATCGACTGTGTAACGGTACTGCAACGTATTGTGGTCTGATTTGTGTAGAAGAGATGGTGCAGCACCTCGGTTCGAAGTTCTGCGCTTTGTTCCATTTGTTATTTGCTTTTACTGAATCTTGCCATAACCCGTTTTTTCAGAGCGCTGTACAGAAAGCCTGTGCAACCAAAACACAAAGCACAAATTCATAAAAGAAAAAAAACATTTTTAATTCTTTTGTCTGGGTTTTTTGTTTAGTGAAATCTAATTGCACTTCTCTGGTATTGGTACATACGGCTTTTGGTTTCAGGAATCTAAGTGGTATTTGACTTAGTGATCATAATAAAATAGCAACCCAAACTTGATTTCTGCAAGTTGTGAAAGTCTACTACTTCAGAATTTGAACAAATTTATAAGTGTGTTGTTTACTAATTTCATATATGTATTTATTTTTAGATTCTTACCAAGTGCCACGACAGATTTTTAGCTCTGATCACACTAGAGATCCTCTTCTAAATCCTGATGTAGTTAAAATAAGAGAGAGACAACAAGCGATTCTAAAAGGACTGTCAGAACTACGGCAGGTAAGTGAGAAGTCATTGCACAAGCACATGTGTGCATACATACTAAGGTCAAAGTGAATACTGCAAACCAGTACATAGTCACAAACGTTAGTCTTTAAGCCATTTTTTTCCATCATGTATGATTGGACCCTGACCTCTACCTTTATTTCTCTGTATTAATTTTGCTTTAGTAAATGCATTGCTTCCACCTTTGGACTCTCCATAGTCTCTCTTTAAGGAGTCTTTGGTCATCAGATTAACTGTGAAACAGTGGAGAATTTTAGAAAACTTGAAACCAGGGGAATGGCTTTGTTAGCCTAACTGAATACCTGGAGGCTTGCTCATACATAGCTGTTATGTGTTACATGCATGTATCATGCAGTTGCAGCTGTTTTTACTTCAGGGTTTCTTCATTTTCTAGTAGCTGTGAAAGCCATTAATAAAGTGGGAACCTTTTAGCTTTTGTGTGTAAACACGCAGCAGCACATCCTAATACTTGTGACACTGTTCTAGGTCAAACAGTAATGCTGCCTTAGAACGTATGTAATGTTAGCACTGTAAGCCAGTACCTGTCAACCCAAATTCCTTCCCTTCTGAGCGTGCTGTGTTGTCCTGCTGGAAGCTGTGCACTTAAAAAGCAATGCATCTTAACAAATTGTTTTAATGACATATTATTGTTTTAGTGACATATTATTAGTTCAGACTGCTTGAAGGAGGCAGAGCATTCACATTCCTATTCCGTTCATTTCAGGGCCTCCTGCAGAAGCAAAAGGAGTTGGAGTCAGGTCTAATTCCTGCTACAGCTCAAGAAGAGAACTTTATTTCACCATTCTGAAAGGTACTTATGACTGTACTGAATTATTTGAATGTAGAAGCACAGCCATTTTGCTACTGTAATTGTGAACTATCTATATTATTTTTATTAAATAAATTATTATGCAATTTTTGATAGGATTACAGGGTCACTTTACTTTTACTATTACTTTTCAACACGAAAATAAATTTAACTACATTTTCAGAATGGTCCTTGTGCTGCCTGAAGACACGTCCCTTTAGTATAGACACCAAAAGACTGTGAAAAGTTGCTACCTGGATTGTTGTGGTACTGTGCTATTTTTTTTAATAAATAAATAAGATTCACGATTCATTGTGAACGGCTTTAAGAGAGGGCAGATATTTTTAAATACAGGAAACAGGTTGTACTTTATTATCCATTATATTATCATTATATTCATTATTTACCATCGCAGAAATGCTGTCTCCCACCCCAACTGAAAGAGGATAGTGACACTTAATATGGTAACGGACTGAGTCCACGACAGCAGAATTCAGTTTAAAGAAGTCAGCTTAAAAACAAAGGTCTGAACAGCTCAGCATTCAATGCTTCCTCCTTCCTGGAGTTAAACATTAGATTCATTTCCTTTTGGGCTTCAAGATACAGGACAATTTGAGGTAGAAGTATTTTTCTTCTAGAGGTTCTGCAGAAGGTGCCTAATCTGAATTCATTTTAGTTGAGATACATGATAAAATACTACAAAACCCCCAAACTGAGTTTTTTCAGCAGCAACTGTTCTAAAAAATAGAATATGAAAGTATCTTACCAGCAGCAGCTAAGGGAATGAAAGCAGACTCTGTCCTCTCCACTTGCATGCCAAGGCTCGTACAAGGTGAGCCCACAGCTGACGACAGACTTGGAAGAATGGTTTTTCACAAAGTCCATTCAAGTTTGTTGATAGAGACAAGAGTACTTACATGTAAGTGGTAAGGGGCAGAGGTATATACCAGTCTTGTCATGGTTTGCCCTTAATTTAAGGAAGTGAGTCAAACAAGCATTCAAGACTGAATGGTGTTTTCTCTGCTCTTACAAAGCCTATAATTTTTAACCAATTCTATATAGGCCAACTAACTTTGAGTTTACAGTTATGTAGTTTCAAACACTATTACCCATTTCTAAACCACCCATCATTCAAACACTAAGATCAAATTACAAAACAGCAAAGAAATACATTAGACAATTTGAAAACAAGTAAACATAGAAGTCAGCACATTAGCATATGTAAAAACACGAATTGTACTAAGGGTAGCAGTGAGACAACCCCAGCTGTGTACCTTCAAGTTACTGTTACCCAGCAGCCTTAGTGAGATGATGCATGAGCTGAGTCAAATAAAGACTTGCCTGAGGAAAGTAAGGTTAACTCAGCACATGTGAAATTTGAAAGGTCAAGCTAAAAAAAAAGATAGAACTCTACATGCAGAACAATACCAAATCTAAGAAGCAGGAAAGCACCAGGAATCACTGTGCAGGAGGAAGTAGGGCAGGAGGCAGGTTGAATTACTGAGGTCACTGAAACATCCCTGCTGCAGTTATAAGGGGAAGATACAAGTTTTAAGATCATTCTGATATTGCTCTAGTAATTACAGTAATTATTAGTGAACCGCTAGTTATGAAGTAAAGTTTGGCTACGTTTCTTTTGTATTTTGAAGACAGCATAAAAACCACAGACAAGGCAGCGTGTTAGCAAGTCCCTTGTGCATTAACAGTTTATTTCGTTTCTGTAATGGAACTGCACCATTTGTTAATCTACTTGAGGTATTTTGCCAAAATCCAGTAAATAAAATAACTACACTGCCTTATAGCTATGTAAAAACATTCGTACAAAATTGTGTCAAATAAATACATACGTTTTGATATTTATGTAAGGAAAAGTGAATTGGATACTTACAGTTAAAAAAACTTGCCATTTCATATATTTTAGGCAAACATTCAATTTTACATTAAAACAGACTTCAAACTGAAACCTATGTACAGGTCAAATACAAATGTAGAAACTTAAAAGTGCCAACAACCAAGATAATTCAAGTACAATAAATGTTAAAAATATATATTTATTTCAATTTTCAGATGCTTCCAACAGGTGCAGGCCATCACGGTTTAAATAAGATCAGAAAAAACTTTGAGATAAAGGACAAGAAATGTTTTGTTCCAGAATAAAATAGAAATTGTTAATCCAACATTTTAGAAACAGGAAGTCCACAGCAACTTATAAAAAAGACAAGTTTATTTCCGTTTTGAATATGGCCTGGAAGAATCACAGTTTTTATCCCAACCACCAGGCAGTGACGATTTCTCTGTATCCCTGCTCTGACTGTAAGCAGATAGAAAATAACTGCCCCCTTCTTGGTTTTGACTTGTAGAAGGTGGGTACGTTGTTCCCAGGAAAGTCTGATGGGTGAGCACATTAAAGTGACTGAACTGATGAGACATGTTTAATGGTCTGCTGTAAACCTGGAAATTATTGAAAGGAGCTCGTTCAACTGAACTGTGTTTTTCTCCTTCAGCAGAGCGCGTTGTAGAAACCGGAGTAACTGGCTGTCTCTCTTCCATGTCAATTTTAGAAGACTTTTCCATCAAACTCTTTTGTGATTCAGGAGATAACTCTGACACACAGCTCTTTTTTGCATCTACTCCCTGTGAGCTCTCGGTCTCAGTCTGCAAAGTTTCCAAATGGGTATCATATTTAGAGGCATCATTGTAGATTTCTATTTGTGATGCTTCATCCCCTGAATCCAGAGACATGTCCTCCTCATCCTTTACATCATTTTCTACATGAACTGCATTAAAAAAAGAAAAAGAAATTCCTATTCTATTGAAATACAAACTTTTGTTAGAAAATTTACACACTACTCACGGAGTGTTATGCTTCAGGTCTGCAAGTCCAGTATCACTTAAGTCTTGGTCTTCTGCCACTCTTGTTCACTTACTCAACATACACACTTAACCCTCTGATTCCAGTTATTCCGATGCTAAAAGCTTCTGAGCATTGTGTTCATGTTTAGTGTTGGGAAACCCCAACTCCAATGGGGTTTATGTCAAAACAGCATCTAAAGTTACACAGGAGGTCAGTATTTGATCAGACAATTACAGGACTACAACTCCCGCTACCTCAGGTGTTTGTCTAGTTTCTGAGCCACCTTAACGATGACAGCTTATCCTTCTGAAAACAGACAGCCACACCTTTTTGGCATATGCCTGCTTTCCAGGATAGCTTGTTAGCCTGTAATTCTGTATTTAAGATGTCCTTTGGTGCTCCATCCCCGCTGCTGTTCCCCCTTAATTTAAAGCAGTAGCTTAAGAGCTGGGCTGGGTTTTCTTTACAATCTCTCACATTCATTTACACAAAGACACTAATTCAAGGACCTCCACCCCACACCTCTAATTAGCTGAAGAAACGATGAATGTTTTTAATGTATTACCTGATTGTCTTTCCTGAGCAGAGGGAGATGGGCTGTCTTCTTCATTAACTGAGTTGTGATACCCAACAAGACTTGTAAAATTTTGCATGAAGTCCTCGACAGTAGCAACAACTATGCCATTATCAGCATAATTTGAAAGTGGCTTGAGATTCTTTTCTAAATACATAGAAGGACACTTTGTATTATGATTTAGCACTACTACCGTAAGAGGGAGAAAGATAGTCATATTTGTTTGTAACCTGTTAAGAAGACAACGTGTCGCTGTTGTATGTTTTGAGACTGAAGCCTGATAAGACATTCTAATTCTGGTGCATTTCGAGTTTGTGAATCACAGTTATGGTAAGACAGAATTTCAACCAAGTGCTTCTTCTGATAGGTGTTCAGCAGGGTCAGCAGACTCAGGGCGTTAGCATTCAGTCTGTGATGGAAAAAAATATCAGACATTTGATGTAAGGTCACTCTAAACATTAAAATTCAGTTAAAAGATGAACATAACATTAAGTTCTACTTCACTAAGATTTTGAGAGCGTAACTAAAGCTGAAGATTTTAGCAACTGTATGAAAGATCACTGCTTACCTCCCCAGCTCTTTAAGTTTTTTTTGCATTTTGCAGTGGACTTTCCAGTGCCATTTTCCATCTGGGGTACTGAGATCCTCCAGAAACTGTAAGAACTGTTTTAGTTTATCTGTTCAGGAGATAAATTTCACAATCAGCAAAGTGAAAACACTGTTTCAACATATACATAAAAGGGGAGAGATATTTTGGTTTTTTGAGTTTTCACCAAAGCAGTTACACAACTATGAGCACTGCCCCAATACTTTAGGTTTTATTCCTAGATGATTAGCCAACAAAAATATTCTAAAGCAGAGAGGTTTTGCTTCGAAGTCTAGCAGTGGCATCTGCTTTCGAAACAGCTGATTCAGTCAGCATGATCTGCCTTCTTAAAATATCTATGAGATCTGGTAACTAAAGATAAATATTCAATTTCAGATATAGAAAATTTGAAAGAACACAGATTTCCAGTAACTTTTTTACCACATTATTCATGGTTCTGAGTAAGGAATAAAAGGCCTTGTATACACAGTAGACAAACTTCAAAAGCCAAGATCTCCATGTTCACACATTCTCCAGACAGGCCAGTGAGTGAAAGATTCAGGTTCTCCAAAAAATTCACATCATCTCTGAGTAAGACAGTTTTCTCATATCTTTAGAGTTCTGTGTTTTTAAAGCTCCAGAAAGCATCACACTTACCTGTTGTGATGCTCTCTGGATTAAGGACAGATTCATCTGACACAACAAAGCCACCCGACATGAAGAGTTCATTGTAAGTGTGATTTTTCACATCGTCCAAACTATCGACACCCGCAAAGCTGACACAAGAAAGCTTCTTCAAAGTTACTAAGCCTGGTACCTGTTTAAAAATCCAAAGAGGTACACAAGGGAAAAGAAAACAAAGATTGTAGCTAAAAAATAGATGAAGAATCTTCTTGTCAAACTTTAAAACATATCTAAAAATTATTTTTAATCTCTTGCTTTAGGGGGTGCTCCCAAAAACATTACAGGTGTTGGTTCAGGGATACCTAACGTCACTTTAACAGCTGCCTTCGCTTGCTGTTACAGCAGTAGAGAACTAGAAACAGAACTTAACAAGGACTAGGAAAAAGTATTAATTGCTAAAATGCACCAGAAGTATTCATCACCAACAGTGTGCAGTTAGAAGTAGTTATGGGTATGTGATCTAATAGGACTGGACACGACCACAGTTTTGTTTCTTTGAAAAGGCAGCTAATCAGACTGTTGTTTAAATATTTAGAGAGTAGCCTTGCTCACAGTGAGTTCTTCTGGCTATGCTTTGACAGTTTTTTCTGTAGTACACATTTACTTATGTGAAGTACCTTATGGATGAGGTTGTCGATGTCTTCATTTTGAATAATTATCAACAGTTTATCTAAAGCAGCTCTTCTTTTTAGGAACTGTTCTGGATGGCACTCTGTATTCCCTAACTTAGTAAGATACTCCTGACACCACAGAAGGAGATAGCAGGGGGAAAAAAAGAAAGGGAAAAGCTCATTAAGCCAAAGCATTCTCCAGAAGATGACAACATTATTAAGTTTCCCATTCACGTGAATTCCAGAGAGACAACTATTTTTGTCTTTCTGATGCATTAAGCAGAAGGATGCCGCAACACAGGAACGGGCTGCTTTAGCAGGTTGGTCAGTCTTACAGAGTAGCACGGATGTGGCCAGCTGACAGTCTATTAAGACTGCATGAAGTTTCAAGAAAACATGAATTTTTATGACTTCAACTTCCATCTTGCACATTTAAATGCAGAATAACAGCAATCTCTAAAGCTACCCGGACAATTAACCAGAGGGGAAAAAAAAAAGAAAAAAAACAAACCCACACCACCACACATAACATCTTAGCAAGGAGACGTGAAAATGTCATCATACTCTTTCCAAAAACGTCCTCCCACAAGCCTAACCCTTCTGGCTGCACCTGCACAAAGACCCAAACTCCAACCAGTTCTGCTTTTCAAAAAGTAAGAATTAGGTAAATGCCAAATCAAGACAGACTGTCTGACAGCCTCAAACAAGAACTGTGGCAGGGCAGCCTGTTTTCGCCATTCACTGTAACAATTCAAACCTTTGTGAAACAAATCTTAGACTCCCTTTTGTTTCAAGTCCAGTTTTATAAATTCTGGTTTGAAAGCTACACCACTCTATTTAAACACTACAGAGAGGCTGAAATGGAACACGTTTACCTTGATTTCTTTGCAGAGAATGCTTTCCTCCTCTTCATGAATATAAAATTTCACAGTGTTTTTCTGTACATCTTTAATAATTTCAACCAAACTGTTAAAAACTTCAGGTTTTAACTGGCTGATAAAATCAGAAAGAGCTGGTTGGTTTGAAATGTTTAAGTTCTCCGGGGATTTCTGAGTCTTTTCTGGTGACTCCATCCAATTACCACTGGAAGGTGTCTGATCAGACGTCAGCATAGCTTCTGCTCTAGCACTCACGTGTTCTACTTCTTCCTTCACTATGGACAAGCTCGCTGACTGCTGCTCAACAGAATCAACATCTTCCACCACACTGTTACACGACGGCTCTGTTAACAGCGTCGTGTCAGAGTCCCTGCAGAC